TCTTTCCCATCTTAGACCCAAATTTGTAATGACAAAATACAGAACGAGCATAGATTTTACTTACATTTCATGGTAACTAGTATATACATATGCTTAGTTCTGTTTTATCCAAAGTTAGTTGTAAATCTTGTGGTTTGTATTTTCAGTGTACTTGCAAAAATAACTTCCTAAAAGTTCCCTTCACATTTCCTGCTTAAAACCAAACAAAGCAAAACAAACAAAATAACTTCAATATAAATCAAGGTTGAATCAAAGATACTTGGGTCTTGAATGATGGATTTGCACGGAGTGGACTGGATTGCCTTCCCTCCCTCCTACCAGAATGGGTAAAATACATGAAGTTCTCTTTCTTTATAAGTAGTTAAGCTGCTCCTGAGAATTGTACTGTTTTAATTTTACTGTGAAATTGTTTCGAGGGACACTCATTACCCCAGGTTCTCCCTTGAATCTTTTATTCAAGGAAGATGGGTCAGCTTGACTGATACTGAGTGGAGGGGCATTCAAGGGAGAAAGAGGTAGGAGTCCAGATTCCCATCCCTTCCCTAGGTGGGTGAAACACCACAAACCAGCCCCCCACCTCCCGAGGGCAGGCGGGCCAGCACATCAGGAGGCCTGGGGAGGCGGGGCTCCCTCCACACTGGCCCCCTGCTGTTCCTCCCTTGGTGTCCCCTGAGGGGCGGACAGCAGAAGGCGGACCCAGGCTGCCTGGAGAGCCTGTGCATGCGCGAGGGCCACCCGGGGACAGGAGGGACCCCAGGGGGGCTCGGAGTTCAGGCCTGAATGCCACGGTAGGAGGGAAGGGAGAGGGCCTTGCAGGCCTCTAGTGGGGAGCCCGGGGGCTCTAGGCATGGTGACAGGGTCCTTAGAGGGGCAGACGGGGGGGTCTGATGGGCTGGTGGGGTTGGTTTGGCGGGCTGTCCACGTGTATCATGTGCCCTGGATGATTAACCCCCCGGGACGGGACTCAGGACAATCGAGTTCCTTCTGAGCACCTGTCATTAGGCAGAAAGGGGGTTCAGGGGAAGCCACGCTCTGTATTTGCTGTTTTCAAGCGCTTACAGCTCAGAACAACCAAAACACCAAAGTGGCTTTTTTGGGGGGCATGTGCTGAACTCCTACAGTCATGTTTTGGGGGAGGCATAGTCTGCTACCCTTCAGAACTATGGTATAAGGGGCAGTCTTCTGGGCAAGCTTTCCTCCTTGATAAAGAGGTTCAAGAGGAGAGAGGACCCCCCACCCTCTGGGACCCACTTTGTACATCGCGGTGGTACAGTGGAGCCGGGAGCCAGCAGCCCCAGCTCTCTCCAGCTGCTGAATTCACCAGCCTGGGGGCTGTCTGCCCCTGGGGCTTCTCACTAGGTCGTAAACATCCCCAATATTTAACTGTCTTAGTAAGATTCCCTGTTCTTTGTAGCCAGAAAGTAACTGATACACCTGACATAATGTGGCTTCCAAGGAACGGGTGATTTTTAAAAAACATTTCTAAATTTGAAATCCTTTAATGTATCTCCCAAGACGTTGCCTGGTTCCAAAAGTCGCAAAAGAGAGCCGACGGGCCAACTGGCACTTACTGAAAGCAGGGCCTCCTCTGCAGGGAGCCGACCCTGCTCTAGCAAGCGGAAGTCAATGAGCAAACGAATCTGGTTTTGTACCTCTTGTTTCTGCAAATTTTCTTGGGTAGAAAATGATTTGGAATCCAAAGGTCAAGTATGAAATGCTGTGCCAGGTAGTTACTTTTAGGTTTTTGTAATCAAAGGCTGTCAGGGACAGAAATCAAGCCCTTCCTGTCTGATCTTAACATTCTAGGGCGGCCAGCTGTGATGGGCTGAATCATGTGGCCCCCAGATTCACATGTTGAGGCCCAAGCCCCGTGTCTCAGAATGCGACCTTATCTTGGAAGTGGGGACCCGGAGAGGTAATGAGGTTGAAATGGGGTCCCTCAGGCGGGCCCCGCTCCGCTGTGCCTGGTGCTCTGCGAGGACGCGGAGAAGGCCCCACGCGCCCAGGCGGGAGGGACCTGTGAGCGCGGGGGAAAGGCTGTCTGCGAGCCGGGACCCAGGCCGCAGGAGAAATCATGGAGACAGTTTGATTTTGGACTTGCAGCCTCTAGAGCTGTGAGAAAAAAAAATGTGTGTTATTCAGGTTGCCCAGTTCGTGGCATTTCGTCGCGGGCGCCCTAGCAGGTCAGCACAGCAGCCAGGCCCTGCGGCTCACGGTGCAGCTCGTACAGGTCTCTCGCCCCGTTATGTCGCCACTCGCCGTGGGAGGAATGAAAACTGACACTTGCAGGACGTTCTTTGCACCCAGTGCCATTTCTCTGGAGGGGACATAATATTACCGGTTTTTATTAAAAGGTAATCGTGCCATCCCACCTAATGAGCTGAATAAATGTTCGCAGGTAACGGTCCGAAGGTGGCATAAATAGGTTGCCAAGTTTGCCCACAGATCTCAGTCGGACCCCAAAAAGAACAGGGACTTGGCAACACGGAGATGGTGGTGAGGGAGGGATTTTTCATGGAAGGAGACCTTGCAGCCTCTTGGGGTCAGGAGGTCTTTGTGAAGAACACGTGGAACAGAACCGGAGACTGCAGAGAGCTGGGCACACAGGTGTCAGGGACACGCGGACACTTTGATGCCCACTGGCAGACAGGGAAATATTTAAAAGATTTTATTTTTGCTCTCAGTTCCCAAAAGATGAATTAATTTCTTAAAGGATATGATCCAAGATCTGTTGGATTGACTCCTTTTTAATGGGTTTGGAGGCAAAATAGTTTCCTTCATATAATAATTCATGTGATTAGTCTTTTGGCCTAATTATAAATTCAGTTCTCAAAACAGTCTGTCCCTAAGTCAATTGCCGTGCTGTTTTCTATTTAATTTCCTAAAAAAGGAAAATCTAATGGAAATGTCCTTGCTAGTGTTTGTTATTACACGGCAATTAATGGAAATATGTAGGTATTCCTCTTTTCCCCTTCAGGTCCTTTTGATGCTATGGAAATTACCCAGAATGCTTTTTAATAAAATAAAAATAGTAGATTGACAATCTAATCTAGGTTTTCTCAGTCCTGACTTGCAAAATTAGCCATCAGGAAATATCTATCAAAATAGAACACTAGTATAGATAACAAAATGGTATTTCTTAAACAGTAGTTCACAGCGAAAGATACACAGGAAGCCTAAAGTTGTAACTATTTTCTCACCCAGTGTTCAGTGACATTCTTGAAAATTAAAGTCAGAATTTGTAAAAAGAAAAGCAAACATACTGATGTGCAGATTTGGGAAAGGCTGTTAATGGCTCCTGGATAACAACTGGAAGAGCAACTAACGTTCAATTTTGTTTTGTTACCAAGCATGTAGCCAGTTCATGTGCCTGATGATAATAACTTAACGATCAGTAATTAGTAAGTAAACACATGCATGTGGCACTTTGAATCTGGAACGTTCTGGCTCTGTCAGCAGCGGCAGGAGCCCCGACCCCTGCGAAGGAAGAGGGAATTCACCCAAAGAGCGGGGTCCACAGAAGCAGGACCCCCCAGACTTTAATGGAATCAAAAGTATCTTTAAAAGGACATAACTCTGCAAGAATTTTCTCTCGTTTTATGAATCTATTAAATGTGTTTGCTTTCCTGGAGCACTGTTCTACCAAATCTGCCTCCGTATTTTCCACTAGGTTACCAAGACTATACACGCACTTCTGTGTGAGGGTGGGCCGGGCAGAGACGAGGTCCTGGTAGCAGCTGTGAGAGTCTATGGCTGCGCCAGACATTGTCCGTAGTGCTTCGAAAAGTGATCGGACAGAAAAACAAAGAGCTCCAAGTGAGAGGAAACTTTTGATGATTATATATGTCCTAGAGTTCGCGTCTCCACGGTCCAGTATTCTGAGGGATGACGGGTGTTCCACCTTCCATTCAGGGACCCCTGGTGACCCTAGAGTACCCATTTTTCCCACTTCTATTCTAGCAGCTGGCACATGACTGCTTGCAATGCGGACTGCATTTCCCATCCTCCCTTGCAGCTAGGTATGGCTGTGAGCCTAAGTTCTGGCTAGTTTCTGTAGAGTGAAAATAGAAGTAATTTGGGGTAGGATGCAGGAGCCTGCTTTATGAAACTCTGTCTATGCTTTAATTAGATCATCAGATTGTTCTGTTTATGCCGCCTCTTGAGGAAGGGACTTTTTACCATGAGGTGACTCACGCCAAATGATTTCTGTGGGTCCCACAAAGATACAGCATGACAGCCAACCAGATTTTTGTGTGCTTAACTATTTTTTTAAAGGTGAAAACAATAGGAAAAAAGTTGAAGTCACGCTATTAGATTAATGAATTGAAGCAAACAGGACATGGAGTGGTAGAATAGTAGATACTCAAAATGGAACAGGTCCGTGGTCTATGTTGATAGTTGAGTCACTGAAGAATTAAAAGGTCACCATGCTAAAGGAAAGAGCGCTTGTTTAATATGTAACAGTCTTGTTTATTCATGGACTTGGTGTTCTGGATGCTCAAGGTCATCGACCATCTCTGGGAAGAACAGCTCACATTCTGATGTGTCTCACTGCTGTGGAATTTATTCTCTGACATGTTTAGATTTTCTCTTATTCATTCATTACATTATGCATCTTGGCAATTTTAAAAACTGGAGCTGGTCAATGAAAACTGTGTGTGTGTGCGTGTGTGTGCGCGTTTGTGTGTGTGTGCGTGTGTGTGTGCGTGTGTGTGTGTGTTTGTGTGTGTGTGCATGTGTGTGCATGTGTGTATGCGTTTGTGTGTGCGTGTGAGTGTGTGTGTGTGTGTGTGCGTGTGTGTGTGTGCGCGTGTGCGCTTTTTACTTCCTTAGCCAAGGACGTCCTTCTCTCTTGACCTGGCTGACTGAGTCCCAGGCATCTCAGCCAGGCTCCAGCATCTCTGTCGCTGGGGGGCATCATCCCCAGGAATTGGTTGCGTTCCCCCCCGTGAGCACATCCCCCCGCCCCCTCCACCCCCCACCCCGCACCCCATGCCCTGGCAGCTCCCATCTGCCTGTTCTTGCTTCTCTCTCTGCACCTGGGATGATAAGCTCCTCAAAGTCGTGGGCTACGTCTTCCATCTCTGTATTCTGAGATTCCAGCAAAGTGCCTGTTTTTTAGCAAAGATGCAATAAATTAATTTAAAAAATGTTTTTCTCAGATCTGGGATTCAAAAAATCTCAAATATGTTTTTCTTCAATATACTTTTAAATCTGAGGAGTAATTCACATACAACAAAATTAACCTTTTAAAATGCTACATTTCAATGAATTTTGCCCAATACGGTGCAGTCCTGTGACCACACCACCATTATGATATTGAACATTTCCATCAACCCCCAAAATTCCATTTGCTCTTTCGCAGTCGGTCCCTGGCCCTGGAGACCTGCTCTGGTTTCTGTCTCTGGAGTTTTGCCTGCGCTGTGCTGTCATGTAAGTGGCATCACAGCACGTATTTCTCTGTGATTGACGTTTCCATTGGCATGACAACTTTGAGACCCACCCACTTTGCACAGGTCCCCAGTTTATTGCTGTTCCTGTCTGAGCAGCGGGCATCATGATCATTGTCTAAATGCGTTTGTCCATTCAGTGGGCGTCGTTCCAGTTTTGACTATGATGGGTAATGCTGCTGTAAACATTCACATACAACTCTTTAGGCAGACATATATTTTCATTTCTCATGGGTAAATAGATAGGACTGGAAGTTCTGGGTCGTACAGTGTGTGTTTAACTTTGTAATATACACTAGCTTCTTCAAAGCAATCGTGCCCATTTGCACTTCTGCCAACAGTATATGTGGTTTTCAGTTTGTAAGTGCTTTTAAAATGACTATCATAAACATAGTAGATCTGGTTTTATAGTTGTGAGATATCACTAAGTCATTAAAAAATGTGTAAAAATAAATGGATAGATGAGCTGACGTTGCTAGGGTAGAAAGATGTTGAATGAGACCCATTTTTCCCCAGTAATTCTCCCAGTATTTTAGTGAGCAATACTTAAAATTCCTTCTTTGCAGTGTCATTTTCCCCAGGACTTTGTGGGAATTCACAGTCCTCAGGAAGCTGATCTGATAGGACCCCTTATCTAGGTTTATCTTTTTCACAGGGCCAGCTGAAAGATGGGTGGGGAGAGCCACTCAGTGTGGGGACTCGTCGTTCAGGGGCGAGCTGGGTGCCGAGGGGAGGGACAGACACAGCAAAGGCCCAGCAGCCAGGCTGTGTGGAGACGGGCTGGGGGCTCCTTCCGCCCTTCTGGCAGCTACGGCCCCAGGTCTGGGGCTGAGACTGCACTCTGCCACTTTCAGTCATGAGGCTTTAAGCAAATCCTGTAACCTATTTAAAAACCTTAAGTAATTTTTTCATCTGGGATGCTCAAGAAATAATCATTATTAACTAAATAATGCACTGAATGACTGCGTGGGCATGGAGAAGTACAGGCCATCTGTGCTTCCTGAGTGTCTCTTCCTCGGTCAAGTTTTAAAACTGCTTCCCACCCCTGTTGTCAGGCAATCCAATCTGGGGGGATCTCCTTGCACCCGAGGTGAGATCTTGATCTGGAGAAGGTTCTTGGCTCCGAAGGAGAAGGAATTCAGGAGCAGGTCAAGCAGGTGCATGCAAAGAGTAGTTGAATAAAGCGCAGTACTGCGGGCTGCTCTGGGGGGAGGGGAGGCAGCTGGTGGGGCGCGGGTTGGGCGGTCTTATAACTGGAGTGTAAGCAGGGGCTGGAATCGGGCAGGTGGGCTGTCCTCGGAAGAGGAAGGGGATTTCAGGGAATAGGGCGTCCCTCCTGCGTCCTGTGTGGTCAACCTCAGAGCTGTCCAGGCACCCAGGGGTGGGCGTTTAGAATGCTGATGGGTGTGTATTGAGCTTTGGCGGGGACTGTAGGCCACCTTTGCTCCCCATCCTGAATCCAGATGGTTGGCACTGGTTAGAAACTGCATTCTGTCTGCCATCAGCTATTTTCCTAGAGTCTAGTTGGTTTGTTTTTGTTTAACCAGTTCTGCCAGCTGGCCGCACGCACTCACCTCAAGCTTTCCTTGACTCTCCCAGGTCCTGGCCCTTTTCCTGGGCTGCACTGCCTGTGTCACCCCCTTTAATTCTCTTCTGTTGAATGAGTTTTGATTTTACTCTACCTACTGTAGGGGCTGGGGGGGCAGGAGGCCCCAGCTTAGGCCACTGTGGCATGCAGATAATTTTGATCCGAAAGCCATCAAGGCCCAACAGACTCAGAAAGAAACTGTGACATTCCCCCTACAACTGCTTAAAACGGATTTAGCTGGAGGACCTGCTCAGGAGGCAGGCGGCCACCCTGTGACTCCATTGTCATATGAGTGAGGTGGCTACACAGGGAGGAATTTAGCCAAGTCCTTCCGTTGAAATTCCTCTGTGTGTCCCACTCTTTCTTCTTGGCCCAGCAGACAATCCCTCGCCAAACATTTACACTCCCACATCCTTGTAAGTTGCTTCCCTTTTCCCTTGATGTCCCAGACCCCTGCCCCCTTCGGCTCAGCTAAGAAGGACACCTATTCCTCATCGTCCCTGACTGTCTTTAGCGTCTCATGTCTGTGGATTTCCCATATGCATGTGATTGAACTTTGTGTTTCTCCTGCTGCAGTGTCTCCTGTCAGTCTGATCTTTAGACCAGCTGGGAGAACCTTGAGGGTGGAGGAAAACTTTTCCCTCCCCAACACTGCGGTATCAATGGTGTCTGCTCTCAGATCCATGTGACCTCTTTTCCTGCCCCTTTAAAATATCTTATGTTCTTTTGAGTAGGTGATCTGTGGCATTTTTATAAATTTCTTTATGCTACAGGCCAGCTCAGACCTAGAGAACACAATTATGAGGCTTTAGATGTGACCAAGATGTGTCATTTGGTTTCAGATTCTGTGATATGTCGAAGAATACTCAAATTACACTTCAGTGCACGTGAAGTGGGATTCAAATTGATCTGAGATGCCAGTCGTCTGAATTCCTGAGGGGATGCAGGTAAGCTGCTGTGACTTTTCTGTTGTGTCTAAGACACGAACACACATCTTTTTACAGGAGAAGTTCAGTCATGGTCTTTATAAAACACCTGCATTTCCTGGAAATTTTCCTATATTCCCTTTCTATTTATAACTGCATTTGTGTTGCCTTTTTTATGTCCCAGCATAATGTTTATAGAAATGATGTCACGTCATCCTTTCAGTGCCCTCTAGGATAGGAAAGATGAAGTTTTAATGGAGTAAATGAGTCTCTGGGAAAACACATGTTTCTGCGATGGTGTCATCCGTGATCATTCCGTGGCCCCGTGGCTCTCTGGGCCGCTGTTCCCACAGGCTGTCTAGCTCACAGGACAGTTTTGCTTTCAAGTAAAGCCAATTTCAAAATTATGCCAAGTGTGAGGGCTGGGAGGTCACAGGAGTTAAGGAATTTCTGAAGACAGTAGCACAGAGGAGATTCCTCCCTACTTGGCAGCTAGTTCTCCAGACTGAGCGCCATGAGTCAAGAGTTTGGTTCAGGTCTGGTTAACCATCATGTCAGTAACCAGGGTTAGCTGGCACCTTGGGTAGGGCTGGGCCGAACGTGCTTCTCAGCTGCCACGTGCCTGGTACAATGTCCACAGGGGTGGGTGTTTCCCACCAGACTGCTGGGGGCTGGTCGGTAACTGCTGGCTGTCCCCATCTCCTACTTCTCTTCTCCTTCCACTAAGCCCTAGAGTTTAGGTGGGCACCTGGGCGGCCCAGCAAACAGCAACTTGTGGGTACTAAGAGGGCAACAAAGATAACTGGGAGCCATTCCCTCCACGTCTTTTGTTGTCCTTTGAGTTTTCCTGCTGGCTAAAATCTTGGCCTTTCGCATGGCATGTGGTACCTCGTCTGTGAAGTCATTAGATGGAGGGAGCCTGGGGTTGAGGACTTTGTGGAACAAAGCCCCCCACCAGTGTGAACTGCCCACCTCTCGACTTTGGGGTTCCAGCCCCTGTTATTTCTTTCTCTGGTGCCAGCAGTGGGACGCTTCTCAGGGGGGTGGGGCCGGGGGCAGGGGGGGCACTTTCAGGAGAGGAGGGATGAAGAGCAGGCGTGCAATGTTCTCATGGATTCCCGAAGGGGGTCTGGGGAGGAAGCCAGCCCTGCCTGTCCACAGACAAGAGTCCACTGTGTGGGTCCACCCCTGCCCCCTGCTCTCCGAACCCACAGAAACTGCTCTGGTGCCACTGTAAGATCTGCAGCAAGTGGACACTGGAGCCGCCTCCCCTTCCTGCCCACTGTGGGGTGGGGCACTGACGGCTCTGCTGGGAGTCACTGCAGCTCTGTCGGCTGCCCTGCTGACTCCAGGAGGCCAGGCACATGGAGGTGCATGCGTCATGGCCTGTGTGTGGCCAGTTCCTTTCTGCTTTGACTTGAAAAGACTGCAGGTGCAGAGCCTTTCACTGCACTAGTCCCCCCTCCCCGGCCCGCCCTCCCTGGCCCCTCCCCGGTCCCCCCTCCCCGGTCCCCCCTCCCCTGCCAGCCCTCCCTGGCCCACTCGCCCCAGTCTGCCCTCCCTGGTCGGCCCTCATTCTTGAGATAGTGAGACAATGAGTCCCCACATGCTTTCCAAAGTCAATGCCAGGCCCAGGATAGGCACCAGAATAGTGGAAAGAAGACCAGCCAGGTGGCTGGCACCCGTCCTGGCCCCACCCACAGAAGCTACTCACCTGCCTGGTTCTCAGGTTTTGTAAATGGGAAGCAAAGGAGCGGGTTCCTTGATTTCTACGATCCTTTGTGGTCCCATCCCTTGATAGTTTCTATCATTAGACAACGTCTGTCATATGGTTTCATTTCTTTCTCTGAAAGTATTCAACTAATCTGTCGAGTATAAATACAGGAAAAAAACATTATTGGTATTTTTATCAGAAGAGAAAAGCAAATGTTTCTCATCTTTCGATATATATTTAGGCACCAACATTACTAAGAAAGAGGAATAAATAGCATCTTGAGTGTCCTTTGGTAAATGAAACTGCACCACATTTTGTGGCGCATAAACCTCAATGCCAGTGACGGTGGATGGGACCACCTCCAGGTGTGACACGGAGTGGGAGCTGTGGCGTGGGAAGCTGGCAGGGCTTGTTCGATCTGGGGCAGTGGGCTGCCCCCTTACCAGGTGTACAGGCCCATTGACTTTTTCTCAGTTTACTGGTTTCTTCATAATTATCTTCCTAACGGGTGCTGGCAATACTGAGCACAAGTTTAAACACCCACGTGGTCCACTGGTTTGGGGACCAGCCCAAGGTGCTCAGTCCCCCTGCCTGCAAGGTCCAGAGGACCCTGCTCATGCTTCCCGTGGCAGTGGGGGTCCCGCCTTTGCACGGGCTTCATGACTAGCAAAGGGGTGGGCTTGGTAAGTGCGTGTCAGCCCCCACCGGCCCCAGGACCATCCAGGCAGCCGCACAGGTACACAGGTGCACAGCACTGCCCACTCCCCATCGGATTTACTCTGTCGAGGGTGGTGCTCAGACGTCGGCACGTAAGTTTTCTGTCTCCCTAGTGGTTATTTTGTGTAGGCGGGTTTGAGGCCCTTTGGCTTAGACCTGCCGGGCCACCTCATGGCGGCTGGAGGCCTTGCAGGGGTGCGGGAGTGGGAGGGTCATTGCTGAGCCACCACAGAGCCGCGCCCTGGCCGTGCTGTCAGAGCCCATCGTTTATTTGCTGAGACCCTTACCTGAGCTTCAGTGTAAAAATCTCAGTTAGCATGAGGTGCTGCTAGAAAATACAAGACCAGACATTCCAACTTCATTTTCATAGGTAGGAGTAAAAATAGGAAAAGCAGAAGATTGTATCTCAAAAAAGTGTTAATAGAAACAAGCACAGTTCTCTAGACTTGGGTTTCTGAATATGGCCTAAAGTGTTCCTAACATCAGAGATCAGAATCTTTTATTTTGGGGGTGGTTAGTGGTTTTGTTCCTGCCAGGCAAAAAACAAAAATACAAGAAAATAAGCCATTGGCAAATAAAACTACACTTAAAAAAATTAAACCAGACCATGTGTGAGAGTTAGAAATATTTTCTCAAATTGAACAATGACTGAGGACTTTATGTTCTTTAGCTTGATGAGTCCAACCCTTGGGCAGCAGATAGATGGGGGGGGAGGATGGAGAAAATTGTTTAAGCATTTCCCAGATACTTTTTGTATCACATGCAGTCTTATATATTCACCACCCATGAACGAGCTAGCAGGACAGCCAAGAAACAACAATGCCATTATTTTCCCATTGAAAATCTGCCTGTCGCAGGGAGTGCATGTGTCTAATAGTTGTTGAAGGTTTACAAAATCCTGAAAAACTGACAATCTTTCTCTCAAACAAAAATCTGTATTTGAATCTGAGATACTTTTTATACTGTATAGAAATACATTAGTTAAATATGTATCTACTATATTTTTTGATATAGTAGAAAACTACCCATAAACTTTCTAAAAAAAAAAAGGATTTTGGTCATATATAGGAATATATGTCATGTTCCTATATATGGTCATAAGAATATAGGTCATAAGAAGGAATATTTGTCATGTTCCCTTAAAACCAGCCTGTCTCCCTGACCCTCGTCCCCTCCCCGTTCTCTCAGGCAGCTGACTCGGCTCCGTCACCTTAAGGCATTCTCCCAGCCTGATTTCCAAAAGCCAGTTATGTCCCTCTGTTCACGCCGCTGCTGTGAGCGCCGTCACACAGACCCTTGGCATCTCTTGGTTGGCACCTGTCTCTCAATCTCCTTATTTGCAGGTGGTCGTCTCAGTAAGTTCCTGTGAGCCCCACTGCCAGAGGAGGCTTTTTTTTTCTTTACAAGGTTTTTGTCACTTTTGTTTAACAAGTATTCATTTCAATGTAATGGAAAGACCATGGACTTCACTGTCAGAGAGCTGAGTTCAGATCCTGGTTCCAAAATTAACTGGTAAATTACATCACCCCTCTGAGCCTCAATTCCTTACCTGTAGGAAAGAGATCATAATTAAATTTCGTGGTCTGATGTACGTAAAATGCTTAGTGCAGTGTCTGGAATACACTGTGTAAAGTATTTGCTCTATAAATTATTACATTTAAAGGATAAAATTCCAGATCTCAGCCACCCCCAGGCTCCACTGCCATCCCCGTTGTGTGCACAGACTTTCTGTTAAAACATCTCTGCTGTATTTATCGGCCAGGACATTTCCTGTCCTTGGCTGCTTTTTCAATTTCTCATTTTAAATCAGTCCTGTGCTTGGAATGCTTCCTCCTGGCCCTTTAAAGCCTTCTTCCTCCAGAAATTCTTCAGGGACCAGTTCCACGTCCGCTTCCTCCCGTGCATGAACTCCCAACAGTTCTCACTGCTGGGAGACGCTTCCCCATGGGTCCTCAGTTGCTGTATGTCTTTTGAGCAGAAGCACTCACTGGCTTGGTTCCCGACGGTGTCTTCAGGGTATTTATGTACTAACAGCCTTGGAAGACAGAGGTGATTTCTCCCTCCAGAGCAAAGGGCAAGTACGTTTACTGTTCAGTGCAAGGAATATAATGTCTCCTTTCAGGGAAAAGTCAGACAGGCTTACTGCCCGTATAAAAGCCTTGAGTTGCCCAAGCTGGTATTCTGTTTCTGTAATGCGGCGCACTGTGCATTCAAGGGTGGCTGGGCCCCGTTTGCATCACCCTGCAGGAACTGGGGTTTGGGGACCTGGTGCGATGGTGCTACTCTGGCTACTGCATTGCTGTGGACAGTACAGCCCTTGGTCTTCTGCTTCCTGGTGCCGTGCCAGCAGCCGTGAAGCTGTAGCACATTGAGTGTTAGCGTGCAGGTATTACCAAGTCCAAGCTTGTGCCACTTGCCGCACAACACGCCTCCTAAGTCGTGAGGCAAGGTGTCGGGCCAAGGAAAGTGACTTTATACGGAAAGCCAGCAGACCAAGAACATGGTGGGCTCATGTCCTGAATCGCCATCCCGACCTAGGGCTGACTCGAGCTTCTTCTTTGTTAGGGAAGGGGATCAGCAGGGGTCGAGGCCGGGAGGTGACGGTCGGCCTCCGCCATCTGGACGTCAGCGAGAGTCTGAGGATGGTTGTGAGGCTCCTCCTCCCTGGTCAGCTGATGCCAATCATTTTGCTGACACAGGTCTGGCCATGATGTGCCTACAGTCTTTGGCAATCCAGCCGTCATTTTTGTACATGTTTCTTGTCTTTGGGGGAAGCAAGTTTCGGGTGAGAGGCTGGCTGCATCAGTCTTAAGTCATGAGAAAAATCCTCTGATGATTAACAAGCCTACGTGCAGGGCTGCAGGGCTGAGCAGAAGCTGTTTGACCCAAAGATTAAGGCAGCAAAGGAGATGGAGTGAGTGTGAAGGCTCGGACACCGGGCACTTTCTCTCTGGTACACAAGCAGCATGAAATTTCAGCCCCGTCACAGCTCTTCAGTCCTTGACAACTGTTATTACTATTTTAATTATTATTTGGCCACTATGACTCCTACATATTTCATCATAATAGTCTCCTCCCTTCCCCATTTTTTTCTTGTCATTGGTTTTTGGAGAGATTGGTCTGTGGAGAAATTGGTTTGTGGATACTTTTTTTTTTCCTGGTGAAGGTTTTGAATTGTGGATTTGTCTTGTTTACCCATGCCTTGCATTTATCCCAGGATCATTTCTCATATCGGCGTCTCAGCTTCCAATTACATACTGTCTCCCGACCTATCTTGAATCATTGACTATCCCTTGTGTTTGTTTCTGGTTTCTGTTACTACATTTGTGTCTTTTATGGACAGGGCTCCTTCTGATTTGCCTTTAAGAAAATCTTCCACAGTTCCTAGCGAGTATTGTGACTAGAGTAGCAGCGTGTGCACAAGTGAATGAACTGCGAGTCCGCTCAGATAATGGCCATCCTTTTCCTCTTCTCCACTAGAGGGCGCACTCCGCTCCACATGGGATTTAGGAACCTTGCAAAGCCTGGGATTTTGTCTGTTTTGAACGTAGGGGTATCAATGTTCCATAAATGCAGCTGAATGAAGTGGTAAGTGTATAAAAATGTGTTATCGAGTAGAGCCTTGGTCTGGTTGCACTTTTTCTATGCAAGACTCCAGCGGAGACCAGCGAAACCTCCTTGGGCCGTGATTAGGCCAAAACCAAGTAAAGTGGTTCCTAAGATTTTCCACCAACCTGGGGGTGCACGTCAGTGCACACGTGCCAACTGCCAGCGCACAGAGCAGTGGCCTGACTAGAAATTCTGAACCTTGTTAGCTACAAAATACATAGGTTCCAAGTCCTCAGCGGTGCAAGGATGATGTAAACAGCATCGAATCTTAGAAGAACAAAGCAGGAAGTGGCAGAGGGTCGCGTTCTTAGTAGCTTCCAAGCGCATTTGTTCAGCTTCCTCACTTAGCTCAAGGAGGCCAGAGCTAACTCCCCGCGGCCGCCATTACAGGGAGCGGACTGTTGTATACCGGCTACACCACCTGCTATCGGCTCTGAGCGGCTCGTCCTGGGAAGGTGCTGCCTTTGGATGCAGCGCCCCGCGGGGTGCGCGCAGGCCCCGCGGAGCCCGAGGCGCCGCTACTGCGGCGGGATAACCGGCCGAGCACTGCGAGCATTCTGCCTTTTCTTATTGCTCCGCTCCTTCCTGACCAGAGCCTCCCAGCAGCCTTGGCGCAAGAATTTCTATAGGAGGCGAATTAACGGTCACAAATAAAGTTAACGCCACCTTCCCACTCATTTTCCCACCTTGTCGCCTCTCAGTCCTGGTTATAGAGCGAAACATTTTTCAAAGAGTTCCCCACCACTCAATTTCACTCTGCCTTCTGAATTTTGACTTCCGACGCCCGCGCTCGCGCTGCACGCTAGATGGCGCCGTTGGACCAGAAACCGAAGGCCGGGACCCGCCGGGAACCCCGGAGTCGGAGGGAGACGAGGTGGGAGCGGAGCTCGCCCGGGTGGGCGGAGGGAGACCCCAGCGTGTGACCTGAGAGATGAAGGCCACAAACGCAACCAAACCGAGTAAATCCAAGCAGCCCTGCCTCCGTCGGTAAATCAGTTTGTTGCAAACGTTAATGACTCTCCGGGGCTCACGAGCTGGACGCGCTGCCGAAGGGCGCAGGGGGGGAAGGGGGTTCGCCCGTTCTTCCCGCGTGTGGGTTTACCGCGCGCGGAGCCAGCCTGGGCACCGGGAGCCGACCTCTGCAGGCTGCACGCGGGGAGGCCTGAGGCGCCCCCTGCGTGCCGTTCAGGGGCACGCGTGTCCCTGGAAATGGTGTGGTCGGATCAGCTGGCGGATGTGCATCTGTCCCCTCCCGGCGCCCTGTCCCCTCGCCCTACCCGGGAGTCTGGGCAGGGACCCTCCTGAGGGGCTGGGGTGATGGCTGCCGGCCCTTTGGGTTGCCTGCCCTCCTTGGCAGCAGCGGTTTCAGGTGCACTACGCCTGCGTTTGGGAGGGGGCGCCCTCGGCAGGACCCCAGCCGCCCGGCGCGGAGGGCGGCCGTGGTCTTCGGGAGAGGAAGCCCCGGCTCTGGGATCCGAGTGGGCGCGCCACTCCTGCGCGGGCGCAGGGGCAGCTCTGCGCCGGATCTGCAGGAGGACCTCCTTTTGGGCCAAGCACGCCGACACCCGGCGCGGCGCGGCTCCCCAGTCCGCGATTTCACCGTCACGGACAAGGGCAGAGGGTACTGAGAGAAGCGCGCGCTGCCTGGGCCGAGGGGCAAGGCCGCCGCCCGGGCTGGCCGTCCCGGACGCAGGGCCCCTTTCCAGACGCGGGAGGCTCCGGGGGGCGTCCGCGAGGCGGTGTGCCGGGGAGCGCGCCCGCGGAGCCGAGGGCTGGGGCGGGGCTCCGGCACCCGTGTGACTGCACGTCGGGTCCGCCGGGCCGGGACCCTGGTGCGCGTGGCCTAGAGGATCCGGACGCCGAGGAGGCAGCTCCAGGGGCGGGCGCGCGGCCCTGTGCGCGTGGGCTTTCTGTGCCGGGCCCCGCCGGCCCTCGCGCAGGCCGTGTGTACGCGGGGAATGTGCGGAGGTGGCGGTCCCCACCCTTCTCCATTCTTTGCCTCCCGTCCTCGCGCTGGCTTCCTCTGGATTTCTCTGCAGGCGGGCCTGCGTGGGACGGAGGGCAGCGGGGCGCCCTGCTGCCCTGCCGGCGGCTCGGAGGCTCGGGCCTGCGGGAGGGAAGGCCGAATCTGCGCGGTCAGACCAAACCGCGCGCACCAGACCAAACCAGGGAGCACAGGTTGACACCGGTGACGAGCCCTCCGCTTTCCCATTCCAGGCGCGCCTGCCCGTGTTCCACTCCCGGCCCCGTCCTCCGTCCCGGTGGCCGCCCGGCTCAGGGTTAACTGCGGGCCTTGCAGAGGCCCAAAGGCTCAGGCCCGTGCCAAGCGCACACACGCGGCCATCGGAACCTCTCCTGTCGCCCCGGGGTGGGAGCCCCGCGCCTCCCGGGCGCGTGGTGCCGTCGGGCCACGCGGAGCACCGGGCTGCAGGCTGCGGGCCAAGGGGTGTAACAGCGGTTCGGGGGCCCTAAGAGGGGTGCCAGTGCCCGTTCGGACTCCGAGTCTCCGGGGTTGGGAGAAGCACCCGCCTTGTCCGTTGAGCCCGCGGGGTGGTGAGGGCAGGGCCAGCTGCCCAAAGCCTCCCCTCTGGGCAGGGTTTGCTCTGGCCGCTGACAAGTCCCTACGGGGATGAAACCTGGTCCCAGGCGACCTGCTGCTGTTCGGAGGACCCTGGGTTTCTTAGCGCCCCGCCCTCTTTCCCGGCTCGAGTTGAGCCCCCAGTTCCGTCCGAAGCCCCGGGAGCGAGGCAGGACTGGGAAAGCCGTCGGTCGCCGAGCCCCGCGCGGTTTGCAGCCGCGGCAGATCGAACAGGGCACAGGGCGCGCCGCGTGCGCAGACAGTTAGTTCATGGAAACCCTGCAGATGGGTTTTAAGTGCCCCCGGGACGCAGGGGGAGAAGGTGTAGGTGGTGGGGATGGGACGGGGGATGGGGCTCGGATGGCGGGCCGGCCGCGCATTCTTGCAGCTCTGAAAGTGACAGTCGCCTCCCTCCCTGCCATTGTTCTTAATTTACAAAAATTAACTCGTTAAAGAAAATCGCACGCCTGGGGAAACCCGAGCTCGCGGCCCGCCCCCTGCGGGGGAGCGCGCGGCTTCCCTGGGCCCGGAGCCCGGCGGCCGCCCGCCCCCGCGCCGCCCCCGCGCCCCCGCCGCCCCGAGGCCCCCGCCACCTCACGCCGCAGGAATGCTCCAAGTATGCACACGCTCCCCAAGCAGACCTCCTTCGCCGCCGCGGCGCATACATCACCCGTGGCAGCCGTCCACCTTCTCAGGCGTTTCGTAACCGGGTAAGCTGAGAGCTGGGGACGGCCCTCCGTTAAGTAGCCCGCGGCGCGCCGCTCTTCCCACTCGGCTCCGCGCGCCGCCGCCGACGAGTCCGCGCCCGCCGCCGCCCGCTCTCCGCGCGTCCCGCCGCGCCCGCCGCTCCGGACCCGGCCGCCCGCCCCGCGGGGCCCCGCCGCGGCGCGCCCCCCGCAGCCGCCAGGTGCTCCCGGAGCGCGGCGCCGGCTGCCGCCACGCCGGGGAGCCGCCGCCTCAGGTGGGTCCGGCTCCGGCCCCTCGCCCTGCTGCCCGGCCTCGCCGGGGGCTCCGGGGAAACCCGCGCCAGCCGGTTCCTGCTCGGCCCTCAGCCGGCCCGGCGCGGGGGCGAGGGCACGGGACCCGGGGGCGGAGGCCCGGCCCTGTCTTCCGAGGGGAGGCAGCTGCACGTCTCCCAAGGCGGATGCTCGGCGGCCGGCGCGCGTGGGCTCTCTGGTCAATGTCTGCAGAGTTTCATCGACTTCAGGGGGCGGCGCGCCAGTGTGAGGGGCAGCCGTCCCGCACCCCCTCGCCCGCCCGCCCCGCGCGGTGGCACCTCGGTGGCGCCCGGCGCGGACCTCTCCGGGGGCGGGCTGAGCGCTCTGCAGCTCCCGGCTGCGCGGGGCTGTGTGGCATGGAGGCAGAGCCCGGGCCCAGGGTCCTGGCCCTTCCCCTGCTCGTCAGGGCATCCGAGACGGTGGGTCGGCCCAGCGCCCGGGGACGCGGCCGGCCAACCCTCCCCCGCCAGCGGAGTACACTGCCTCTTCGGCCTTCCCCCCGGGCGCCGGCCCGAGGTCCGCTGAACCCCAGGGTAGCGTGCACCCCGCATCCTCGGGAGTGCGGTGATCGGAGAGCTTGGGGCTCTGTGAGGAGCCGGGACCGTGGGCAGGGCAGGGGGCAGGAGAGGCACCCCACACCGAGCATCTTCAGGGACCCTCGGCGACCGTTTCCGCGCCTTCCGGGACCCCCTCCCCGCCTCCCACCTCAACCGGGAGCAGGTGGCTTTCTGAAGTTCGCTGGAGCTCTGGTGAGGGGTCGTCAAGGAGGGAAATAAGCGCTAAACTCGTCCTTGGCTAACCGACGTCAGGGTGGCAGCGGGTGAAAGAGGAGGTGGGGACGGGCACGGGATCTGGAGGGACCCTTTGGGGTGCGGGGAGGTGTACTGTCCTTTTTTAGCTTGACGCGGGAGGGTAAGGAATTGGTCTCCTCCAGCGGGTGAGGGAGGGGGCGAGTGGGCGAAGACCAATCCCTTAAGACCCCGAACCCCCCCCCCCCATTCTCATTCATGGTTTGAAGGGAGGGAAGCCTGGCTGGCGCGTAGGGTCGGCCGTTTTCAGGCTTTCATGGCCGAGAATGCTCAATGAAATACTGAACTAGCTAAGCATTAGCATAAATGTTTCGGCTGAAAGGAGAGAGAACTTTATTTTTGAACGTATGGACGGAATGCCTGGCTCGCTGGGTCAATTGGCTGACTGTTCCGGTCCCCGGACGCGACGGGACTCCTTCTTGCTGCCGACAGGTGGCGCTCTAGACCCAGGCAGGAGCGCGTCCGCTGCTCAGGTTTCCGCGAGGAGTTCAGGGGTTTAAAAACACAATCCCCGCACAGATTTTCGGTGGGTCCATTGTCAGCCTTCAGTTGCCAACTGAGTTGGAAATGACTGTAGCAGAGGTCAGGCCAGTTGACGGGAACAGCGGGCCAGTTTCGCCTTTTCACCGCTGTAGGAGAGGGTTAGAAGCGTCAAACAGCTGTTAATTAGGAAGAAGGAAATGGCGGGGGTCCTTGGATCCCCAAGGCAGCGCCAAAATTTTAATCTTCGCTCCATTAAAAGAGATCCGGGCAATTTGGCACCGCCTGCTCGTCCGACATTGAAACGCAATCTACGCTCAGGTCTAGAAAGGTGCCAGAAGTGCGCCAATAATGCGGAAAGACGCGTTCGTTTCTCCTCTCCAGGGGCTTGGCCTTTGGCTCACTCTCGGGTGCTCACGCACGATTTCGTTTTTCCCGGGGCCCAGCCTGTCCCCTAACAGTGACGTGTGTTCCGCAGAGCCCCCTCTCCTCTATACGCCGCCTCCGGCAGCCCCCCAGGTCGGCTCCTCGTCAGCAGCTTTTGTCTCTGGGTTGGAAGATCCCCTTATGCCGACATGGGTCAGGCACCTACTGTGCGCTGGGAACGAAAGATGAGCAAAATTCTTTGTCTTATGTGTAGACAGAACGAAATGGAGAAAACAGAGCGTGAAAGCGCTTTGTTAGCTCTTCCGCGCGCCGGGGACCAGCAGTGCGGCCCCGCGGCACTGCGCAGCTAGAAGGGCGCGCAGGCTGCGCACGTCCCCGCGGGCAGCGGCGTCGAGTGGAGGCTGGGCCACAACGACGCCTGAAAACCCTCCCCGGGCCGGATGAAGGGCCCGGGGCCCGGGAGGCCTCCGCCGGCTTGCGGGCTGGACCCGCCTTCGGGAAGGACGCCCCTCAAGCCCGACGCCCCTACTGCCACGGGCCCTGCTGCGCCTGGCCGGGCCGCGGAGGCGGGCAGACCCGGGCACGTGCAGGCCCCAGTCCGGCGCGGTTCCCGCCGGGCCGCTGCTGAGGTCTCGCCGCTTGTCCCCGCAGGTCCCTTCATGCGGCCGTGAGCTGGGAGGCCGAGCATGCGGACCCGGCTCCCCCCGGCGCTCGCCGCCCTGGGCGCGGCGCTGCTGCTCTCCTCCACCCAGGCGGAAGGTAAGCGGCCCCGGCCCGCCGCCCGCGCGGACCCCGGAGCGCCAGCGCGGTCGCCGCTCGCCTCTGTCGCTTGCTCTGTGTCGCGCTGTCTGGGCTCCTCCTGCCGAGGGCCGCCGCTCTCCTGAGCTCGTCCGCTCCGCTGTCCTGCGTCCCCGCCGCTCGGCGCTCTGTGGTCTGTGCTCCTGTCCGCGGCGTGCTGTCCACGCCGCCCTCGAACCTGTCCGCGGCGTGCTGTCCACGCCGCGCGCGCTCCTGTCCGCGGTGCGCATCTGTCCACGCCTCCCGCGCTCCTGTCCGCGGTGCGCACCTGTCCACGCCGCTGCCTCCCCGAGGACCGGCGCCCGCGCTCCACGCGACACTGCGGGCGCCCCGAGCGCTGGTCTGTGGCCGGACGGCGACCCCAACGAGAGGCTCCGCCGCGCCGGCCCTGCACGTCCCCAGGCTCCGTGCGGGGCCCGGCGTCCGGCAGGAGCGGAGAGGCCCAGGTGTAGCCTCGCAAAGCCGAGGGCCCAACCCTGTCCTGCACCCTCTGCCTCCCCCCCGACCACCCTCCCTCCCCTCTGCCCCTTCTGCCCCTTCTTACCCCGCCCCTCGTCTCCTTCCCCTCCCTCCAGCACCAGCTGAGCGGAGTCGGGCGGGGCTCAGAGACGGGTCCTGGGGCCCCAAGGGCTGCAAAACAGTGCTGCGTGGCCCCGCCCTCCTGAAAATGAAGGGCTTTGCTGGATTATCAGCCTCAGTTTTGTTGTGTGCACTTGACGCCTTCGTTTCTCAGTATTTACTAAACAAGCCATTTCTACGTATTAATCCAATGGGAACTTCCGAGTCCCTTCGGTCATTGAAAACCTGACAAACTAGAGTTATTGCTCTGCAGGGTAGATGGGGTACTACCATAAACAACATCTTAAAAACAGTCTTTTTTTTTAAATAAAAAAAATGCACCTGATGGAGTTAAGGGAGAAAAGCAGCACTTCTCGCTGGGATAGCTGTGGGAGCCCCGGGGTGCGCGCTCGGTCTGCGGTTGTGGGAAAGTAGAGCTGTTTCATGACAGTCTGTTTCAGAAACTTCCTATTGTGTTTGATTTTCTGCTTCAAGGTTGCAGGTACAAAAAAAAAAAAAAAATAAGATCAGGAAAAGCAGAGAGTCTCCAAAATGTATGGTCTGTTTAGAAAAGTGCCAGGAATTTGGTGCTCTTGTCCGAGGAGTAGGTTGTGAATGTAGACGCTTTTCAGGGTGGCCTTTATGAAGTGATACTCAGATGGGGTTGCCCTTAATGTTCCTTTCTATGTCGTTGGTAGGAAGGAATTTTATTTGAGGAACTTCTGGAAGTCCTACTAAAGATATTTTTAGACAATTCATTGAAGTGGCCTATTTATTGCTCATTAAGAAAACAGTTATTTGAAAATCAGGAAGACCTGAGAATTCTTAGGAAAAGAATGAGGTTGGAAATGATATAAGTGGAAAAAAATCAAATCTGAATTGGATAATAGCTGGGTTGCAAAATGCAGTTAAAAAGACGTGTTACTGTCCACGTTCTCCTATTTCTGTATTTCTCGCATTTTATCTTTTCAGTTTGTATGCGTTTTCACACAATGCAGGTTTCTTAAGCTGCATCTTGTCTCCCAGCCCTTTAGGTCAGCATTTAATAATTATATTTTAATATGGTCTTTTCCCTTTTTCTGTAGTTTGGTACCATCAAATAGAAATATATGCAAAGGCAAGCCGCACATGTAACTTCAAACTTTCTGGTTGCCACATTAAAAAAGGAAGAAGAAACAGGAGAAATGAATCTTTATAATATATTTAACTTAAACTAATGTATCCACACATTATCATTTCAGCATATAATCAATGTGAAAATTATCAGTGAGATATTTCACATTTTTTGTACTAAGTCTTTGAAATTGGATGTGTATTTTACACTTGCAGTACGTTTCACTGTGGATTGGCCGTATTTCAAGTCCTTGACAGCCACGTGTGGCTGGTGGCTTGCCTTTTGGGCAGCATAGCCTGGGTGTTAACTACCAACTAAGTGGTCCCAGGAGCCTGTAAAGGGCTAACAAAATTTGTGGCTAAGACCTTTCTGGGGATAGTGGGCTGGAAACAGAATTTCTTTGAAATATCTCTGCTGGGGGCTTTTCAGAAATTCAGCTTGTGCCCCTTTTTCCCACTATGCCATTTTGGTCTTAGTTCAAAAGTAGCCATAGTTGTTTTTCTCTCCCTTTAGCCACTCACACATGTGCCCATCTACCCACACTATTTTCCAATCAATTTCTATTTACCTAATATCTTATATGTTGAAAGCAATAGCTTTTTTGATATTAATTAAAAGGTTTTGGCATCACCTTTTGCATCTCCTATTTTATAGTAGTACCACCTTTTTCCTGTTGTTTTTCTTCTGCCCTCGTATACAAGGAACTTAATTTTGTCTTATAGAATTAACAGTGGAAGTCATTTATTTTGCCTTAAGTATTTGTAATTTTTAGCCTCAGCATAGACTCTGTGACCTGTGTTCTGAATGTGTGAATTGCTTTTGGTTCATGGGTCACATAACATGTTAATTGCCATGTAAAAAATTCAACACTTTACATTTAAAGCTTAATGGCCAGTATTTCCTGAGAATTAGACACCATTCCAACTAATCTAGAATTTCAGATGAACACAAGTTTTGTGAAAGAGTTGTAATTTTGGTAAGTGTGATTTGTAGTTTATAGTATATAATGAACAATTGGATATTATCAGTTCAGTGAAATGAAGCCATAAACTTTGACTTATATCTAGGTTAACAGGCAATTAAAATATATATGTTTCTGTAATCCTATGTCTAACTTAGAACAGAAATGTCAAAGTAGAAGGGAACTTACAGATCATTCCAATTATCTCACTTTTCAAAGGCAAAAATGAGGACCAGCAAGTTGGAATAACTCAGTCAGCTAACGTGGTCACTTAGGAGCAAGGCACCAATAGGATGCAGGTCTCCCAGCCCTGGTTTAGGGCCGGGTTGCCCGCACTGTGCTTCCTATTTGCTGGAGCGCCAACCAAGCCGGTGGGTCAAACAATTGCAAAACAATGTACACAGAACAGTCCAGCGCTAGTTTGCAATACTTCCTTTTCAACTGGTATCTTATAAACACACATGAAATGACTGTCAGTATCATGGCAAAGATCATTGAGCTCATAACTAGCTTTGGATAGAACATGTAAATGAATGCCTATTGGATATAGTAAAACCATTCTTTGCTTACTTCTAAAGGTCACTACCATTAAGGTAGTATCCTTTTTGGTATTGTTATCACAAAATCAGATGAAAGGTCTTATTAGTTCATCAAGATGGTATTTGAGTAGTGTGTTTTCAGTTCTGCTTTGTCTTTAACACATTTTATACAGTTACCAGATCTTATTGGAGTATTCTGCTCCCACCTGTCCATCTTCCCAACTATCCATCCATCCATTCATCCTGCACAGTTGGTAAACTCTTGGACATAACTTCCTTTTAGCATTCTCTTTTTAACGTATCTCCTTTTTGGGTGCCATAATGAAAAAAATTATCTTTTTAATTATGCATATCAAGATAGACACATTTGTTTTAAAATTGCTTGAACAAGTGTGTCAAGTTAATATACCAAATTCTATCTATAACTGAATTGGAGATAGCTGAATACCACATATTTATTATTGATCAGGTATCAAGTAAGGTTTATTTTTATAGGATAATATATGGGTATATTTAATAGGAAAATGTGTATAAATATTACTTTCTAAAGTTAATCTTTCACTCAAATATTATTCTTTATATTTAATGCTCTAGGGTAAAAAAATTGTATGCTCTGGAGTTAGACTGTGGGGTCAAAGTTTTGCTACTTATCAGCTGTGTTAACCTCTGACTTCCACTGGTTCACCTGTGAAATGGGAATTATAAGGCACACTGTGCTGGGTTGTTCTGAGAAGAAAAAGAAATATATAAAGTGACTAAGACTGCCTGTTACAGAGCAGACCACAAATGCTAGCAATTAGCATTCCTAAAAAGTCCTTAATCCTGCCGATTTACGTGACAAAAATATCATCATAATGCAACTTTCATGTCATAGATTCTTGACAACAATCAGCATTGATCATAAACAGGAAATTAGACTACTAGTTATGAATACATAATATTTTAGTTTCTTCACTATCAGTATTCAGGTTTTTGAATATATATACATATGTATATGTATATGTGTGTATATATATATGATTGTTATCTATTAATAATTTAAGTTCTGTTTCTCTTGGCTCAGATTCTCATTCTATGCAGCGTGGCTCTTTGCAATCACAGTCCACACGTAGACAGTTCATGTTTGAAACACTGTTTCAGGGAACGCAGATGCTGCTTGTGACAATGCAAGGGCTGTTGTGAATTATTTTTATGTAAAAGGAAAGGTTTTCAAAGCTTGTGAAGATACATTTTGCATTGATTGAGGCTGACATGGGTCCACATTGACACCTGCCTTGTTGTCTTTCTCCATGAAATGAACAAAACAATGTGTAATCGGGATGGGAAGCCTGAGGGCTTTTACGTGTGAGGGAAGCAGACGGGCCCTCCCCCTCTCGGTGCTGGTCAGCCTCCCTTTCCTTCTTTTGATTCCCAAGAACCACGTCTGAGTTTTTGTCAACACCCTAAACTCCTCTGAAATGTTAAAGACTTTTCCCAACAGTCAATTTTTCAGTTTTTCTGGAATCCTGGTCATTTGGAAACCAACAAGGGTGGCCGCCGCTGCCCTTCAGCGGTTTTAGCCTAATGCCCGCTGCTTCAGGTCAATTTCCTTGCAAGGTTGGTGGTACTGTTTTTCCATGTACTGGATTTTTTAAAAGCATGCTCAGGCCAGTTGTGTCTGCCTTTGCATTAAATTTGTCCTGAGCCATTGCTACTGGAACAATATTTTATAATGATATTCTTAATACCTATGGTGCTATTAACAGTCGTTGCATGCTTGTCCTACTAAGTAATGACTACATCTACACCTTGCGGTATGGTTACAGACAGCAGAATGGTGAATAATTAAAGTGTGCATGTAGATTAATAGTCTAATCTCACTGCCTGTGTATGGATAGTAAGAAAATAACATTCATTCCATTACTAGTGTATCCAATACAAATGAGAAGCCATTTTCTACAGTTGGAAGCAGCACTTCATTAAGACAAATGTTTGCTTAATTTGTTTAAGTTCCATTAAAATGTGCTATTAATATTACATAAGTCCTTAACCAAAGTTAAATTCTATGACGCGTATCTCAAAGCTACTACTGTATTTCAGTTGAGCTCTGTGAAAACGTAAAAGGAGATTGTAATCTCTCAAAACATGCACAAATTCTGACTCACAGGGAATACGTTGAGACTTAAACACCTCAAGAAGAGTATGGCTGAAAGTCATCTTTGTTGACCTGCTTCAAGAGTGATAATTTCGAATGCACTGACCATGCACTGCCAGTGAGTCAGTACGGTGCTGCATGATAGAGGCGTGCACGTTGCAGGGAGAATATCATTATAAAATATTTCTGAAACGTCTTTGTGGAATGACTATTGTACATGGAGGCTTTCGTTCATTGTGGGAAACTAAAAACAAGTCGACATTTTATCGACGCATGCATGATGCTGTACGGTTTTGTATGTGAACTATTTCTTTCTGTACTTTTTGATTCTGCCTGTCGTCGACTTCTCCCAGTTTTTATTCACAGTCATGTCTTCAGATTGCTGACCCTTTTCACTGTTTCCTTCAAGTTCTGTAAATAAATGTCCATAAATATACATTGATGCTGTCTTTTCATAATTAACCATTGTTTTGTAAAGGACCATACTGGCATTTTAGTTTAAAATGCCTCTTCTAGTATGGAGAACACCTACCACAAAGGAAAATAACAGTGTTGGTTTACACCTTGCAAACACACAGCAAATTGGTGTAAACAGGCCAAATATTAGCTTATAAACATCTGTATATCACTATTCATAATTTATTCACATCCCTTATTACTATTTTTGAATATTTGTCTAATGAAGATGAATATACATTTAAATGTATATTTTCTTGTGAGATGTAACAATGCTGAATTTCCCATTATTCCTCCTTTTCATTAAAATACACTTTTCATCTCTGCACAGATTGAGATTTATTGAAGAGAAATTAATAACAAGGCTGTGATGCAGAGGATGAAACAAAAACGTTACTGATTCTTTTCCACATTATGGGAAAAAGTATTATGTCACTGTTCTAAATTAACTTCTGTGGTCGTGAGCAGGTTGTGACTTGGCATGCTTATTCAAAATGCACTCGGCATGAATTGAGATCCCCTTAATTGTTACGTGAATTGTTTGCATATGTGGTTATTACATGTGATTTCACTGTACTTGTATGTACCTATATCCAAATATGTTTCTATTTTGCTTGATTTTGCTGGCCATTCTTGGATGGTCTGGCAACTCAAGAACCCACAGTGTTTTGTGCTGTCGTCTGTAACACGTATACTCTCTGATGTTGTGTCGTATCTCGTCAGCTTTTGATTTTATTCTTATCCAACAAGATATCTTTATATTTGTTGGAAACAAATTTATGCAAAGACAATTTTAGTAAGCTTTGCTCAACATATTTCATTATTCATTAAATTGACCATTTCGTGATGTTGGAAAATGTAACTGATATTGACTTTCTTTTGCAGTTGACCCACCTTCAGACTTGAATTTTAAAATTATAGATGAAAATACTGTTCATATGTCATGGACAAGACCAGCTGATCCAATCGTGGGTTACAGAATAACAGTGGACCCGACAACAGGTAAGTTTTGAAATGCTGGAGTTTTAGGACAGAGATATGACAGATGATGTAATCTTCTGTTCTCCCCTCCTTCCATTTCATTGTGGAGAAGCCGAGGCTTAGAAGACATGAGGGTTTCAGCAAATGTCACCAGATATTTGGTGGATTCAGGTCTGCAGATTTCCAGCCTAGTACCTATTGTTACATTTTTTATAGTGTTGAGGTTTATTAACATGACTTGCTGTGCTAGGCTATTGATATTAAAAATCAGAATATTACTGCTGATCTTTGATTTTTTAAAATAGAATTCTCAGTTCTTGACATTCTTCTTGAATGACTTAATCCTTTCCATTGTTTAAAGTGCCAGGTGGTGCCATGAGCCGGGGCACCTTACTCCGTGTCCTACCCTCTTCACTGCTCAGGGAACCTTATTTTGGGGTAGCGGTGAGCTGCCGTGGGGGAAGACAAGCATTTACCCCGGCTCTGTGGATTCTGAGATTCTAGGCTAGGAGTCTTTGTGAAAATAACTTGCTTTGGTTGTTCTCAGGAGCTGTCTTCAGTGATGTTCCCCAAATGTGGAAACCAGTCTCTGTTGATAAAATTTTAGTTCTAACATGGAATGGGAAAATAACCATTTCCACGAACAATGGCCAAGTGGTAGGGAGAAGTGTTGACTGGCCGCCGATAGGGGTGGATGATGTCAGCATGAAGTTTCACTAGAGCTTGTTCAGATATTTATGGCCTGTATAAAAACCAATGATTTTCAGTGCTGATTCATCAAGAAATTGGAAGGCTTGCTCTGAGAACTTAAGAAGGGGTCAGGAATATACTCTTTCCTCTTTGAGCTTTTTTCCTGAATATGTTTGCAGTTGATTTATTCATTCCAAAGCGGAAAAGCTGTTGAAGAGGAGTCCACCCATGGTGGAAATTACTGACACCGGTACTCTGCGCAGGGGTCCGGGGACCACACAGCCCATCAGAACCCCGGGGTCTTGTCGCCCTGGGGGCCTCCTCAGTCCTGCATGCTCCACACAGAAACAAGGGACATTTCTCAGGGTTCTACACCTGTTATCTTTCTTGATTATGTTTTGATGGAAATTTAATATAAGTGAAAATATTAGCAGGCAGTTTTTAGAAACTACTGTTTCCTACTTGAATTGAAAATCAACATAATCTAGAAGGAAGTGCATAATAGTGTGTAAGCAGGCAGCACGTGGTAGCTTGACATGTTTGCTATCTAGTTAAGTCACTTCGGGGGCCTGTGGTTACCTATTAATGATGCACCCATTCAGGTATGGAGGGTGCCATCACGTCCACACACATTGCTGCCCACTAGAGCTTAATTTTAGCCTATGGTGTTTGTTTTGCTTGAGCTGATTTTCATTGCTTATTTCTCTTTCTCTGCTCTCCTTCAGTGCGTAATTTAAAATTAAGTTATTTTCTCCTTTATATCTCATTCATATGACAAAAATTTTGTTATCTACCACTCCTGTTCAAAAAATAAGAGAATTTTTATTGATATTCTGGTATATCTTTAATCTAGAGGAATCTTTGATTATTGAATATGATTATAGCAAGTAAGGACAATACCAATCCATTTATTGAATGTCTGGAATTCAAAGTTTTGGTTTTGGAAGATGGTAGAAAATAATGTATGGAGGTTCTAAAAAATGTATCTATCAAATTTTTCATTAAGTTGTATTGTGTTATGCTATTATATGAAAATGTCCTGTTGAATTAATATTTCCCTCTCTGTATTTCCAGATGGGCCCACTAAAGAATTTACCCTTGCTGCCAGTACCACTGAGACATTGTTATCAGACCTCATTCCTGAAGTAGAGTATGTGGTGACGATTGCTTCATATGATGAAGTAGAAGAAAGCATACCAGTGATTGGCCAACTGACAAGTAAGCACACAGCTGACGTGCTTTTATACTTTTTATTTTGCAGAAGATTCGCTCCAACTTTCAGATTTAATTTGTTAAATTAAATGCAGAATTAATTTGCATCATAATTAACTTATTTTTTAATGATCCCGGTTATTAATGGATGAAAATAACTCATTACTGATTTATAACCTTGGTCTCTAGAAGCAGCAGGAATTTTACAAATGAAAACTATTAAAAACACTCAAGTTTCCCAGGGAGTAATGTTAATGTCTCTTTGAAATAGATCTAAAAAATCTCACACAAAAAACTTACGTGCAAGGCAAGGCTTATTTGGCAGTATTCTTTGACCAGCTGGGCATGGACCACATATTTGGGAAGTATTTGTACAGATTCATTTCCTTTTGTAATAATCAAATTTTGACTCAGTTCAAACAGGTGGTCCAACGAAGCCAGCTGAGAAGAAACCTGGAAAGCCAGAGATACAAAGTAAGTATTTGCTTGGATTTGTGAAAGTCATAAGTGTAATAAAGGAGATGTTCCAGCTGTATATATATATATATATTTGGTCTTATTCCTGTCTTCATTTCTATAAGCTTTATCTAGACTAAGTACAGACAATATAATAGAATATATGACTAAGTATACATACATTGTGATTTTCTAGCCAATTATCCATTCTGTTTACTAACTATTCTTTTTACTGGGAATATTTTGAATGTGTGCGCATCCAAATTGTCCCACAGGATTTCGGCAGTAGGTGAAACACAAGCTCATCACTGGACTTAACCCATATCTCCAAGACAAACTGATAGAAACGGAGGGTAGCTTAGGGATGTAGGACGACTGGAACACGAGAGAGATGCCCTTGAAGTGTTCTAAGAAATTCAGTTTCTGTGAAAATGTAATTCTAACTATGTGTGTATGTTTTATGCTCATCTCTGGGGTATTTACACGGCCCTAGTTCATGGCAGTTGTAATCATCTCCACAGTGTGTTTAAGACATCTCTGATAACATTTAGGTCTTGACGTACCTGAAGAATATGATGTATTTTCCAGGGCTGTTGTCAGGGTGGTAGCATCTGGGAATCAGCGGGGGAGAGATTGGGGTGGAGACTGTCGCAGTTTGGGTCACTCTGATAGGTACTTGCCCACCGCAATTATCCTTCCCCCACAAAGGATCATGGAAGCAGATTCAAAAGGAGGGCAATGAAAACACTGCTTACAATGTTCTTTGTAATGCACAATTAGGAGCTGAACCCCAACAATGATATCCCATGATCCTTGGTGGTTCGTAATCAAACCGAAGCAGTTTTACTTAGTCTAGGTTTTATAGGTTCTAGCCTCTTTTGTCTTACACTGCTTGATCCTACTGGGATGGACCTTTCACAAGTTTCTTGGATTTCTAATTTTGCCACCTTATAAAAGCTGGATTTATGACCCAGGATGACAATGAAAAGCTTATGACTATAAAGACCCCTTTGCCTGGAATTTGGCCCTTCAGATCACTGATCATCATTCTTTGTGATGTCTAACACTCTGCATGAAATTTGTAGTGTGCAGTTATAGTGCACCTTGAGCCATTGATATTTGTTCTAAATAAATCAAAGCATCACGCTAAATATTGACTTCTCAATTGACTTAAATTGGTCCATTAAACAGTGTGCAAAAATTATTTAAATATGCGACTTGTATTTGGCTAGCAAATTTTGCAGGACCCTTTCCTCCTCTTCTTTGAGAAAAGGAGGAACTCAATGTAGTCAAATAGTTCTTTTATTATCCACCAACTGACTGCAGGGACAAAGACATCCTCAGAAATTCTCTCAGTGTTGTATGAATACAGATTCTCATGAAAGCTGACCTGTGCCCCCAACCAGAGAGTGGGAAAGATATGGTGCTGGGCTATGAAAGCCAAGCATGGCGTTTCAGTGATTTAAGGATACTATGTACATTTCTACTTTTGAATTAGAATGTCTTCCTTCCCTCTGTTTAGTAAAAGTAGGTTTTATATGTCAAATTTAAATAGATTGGTATTTAGGATAGTAAGATATTCCGGCTACCCTGCATCATATTTATGCTAGTTTTTACTTCTGTTAGACTTTATTAACCCTTTAGGCTGACCCACTGCAAACTTTAGACAATCACATTGTAAAAGGCAGGAGAATGCCCACTGATTTGCTCTTTTCTTCAGCTCAGCTGCACCTGCTTGAATAGTACAGCAATTATTTTGTACATATTACTGAATATTAAGGAAGGAAGACACTTTGCTTATATTTCTTTTGTATGTCTCTCAGATGTTTTCTATGATTTTTACTCAAAGGAAAGAGTAAGAATATAGCTTATAAAAACAGAAGGGTTGGTAAGATAAATAGGTCACATGCTCCTGGAGAGCAGGTCTCATGTCTGTCTCTTCTTGCGTGGTGTCAGGCAGCAATTTACAGACATATAGTTCCATACAGACATCTTCATGCAGGCACTGAAAATGCTTATATGTGTGCTAATAAAATTTCATATTCTTTTGTGCATGTCAGTTGTGGGTGAAGAACAATGTGAATGTGTTCTAATGAACAAAATGATTTAAAAAGCCAACATTTTTTTTTGCACTGTTAGTTTGTATCCCTCAATGATGGACAGATTTAATAATGCATTATTTAAAAATACATCCAATGTATTTCAGAATGCTCTGTCAGTGCCTGGACTGATTTAGTGTTCCTCGTGGATGGCTCATGGAGTGTGGGAAGAAATAATTTCAAGTATATTTTAGACTTTATTGCTGCTCTTGTGTCTGCTTTTGATGTTGGGGAAGAAAAGACAAGGGTTGGAGTCATTCAGTACAGCTCTGATACCAGGACTGAATTTAACTTGAATCAGTACTACCAAAGGGATGAGCTTCTGGCTGCAATTAAAAAAATTCCATACAAAGGTGGCAACACAATGACAGGTATGTTTTACAAACTTTGTTATTGTTTAAAATAAATGAAATACCTGTTCAGGAGAGGGATTAAGCATTGCACAATGATCGCATGTTAAATAATTTTGAAATTAATAACATGGTTTTTGACTTTGGCACAGTTGTATGATGAGGGGTGAATGAACAGGTTTCTTTTTCATTTCAGGGGATGCCATTGATTACTTAATTAAAAATACTTTTACGGAATCTTCTGGAGCAAGACCTGGGTTTCCTAAAGTGGCAATTATTATTACGGATGGCAAATCCCAGGATGAAGTGGAAATTCCAGCCAGAGAACTTCGAAGTATCGGGGTGGAAGTTTTCTCTTTGGGTAGGTCAGGTTTGATTAATTATTTTCACTTCAGAGCTATTTCAGTGCTTAATGCTTAGGAAGATGAAGGGTTGATTCCTCCCTGAAGGATGCTATGAGAAGTGGTTACTGCGTTTTATAGTGTAGTGTTAAGCCAGTCATCTCTGAGTAGAGATTCTGCTTATCTATTTCTCCTGTAGAACTAAGTCCCTTAGTATATGTGCTAAGTGAGGTGATATTCACATGCTTTGCCAGCCCTCTACTTTTCAAAAATGCTGGGCCAATGATTCTAATAAAGATCCCCCTTGTATTATCATTAAGTGTTTTTATGTGTTTCCTGTATTATGTAATCCTTGAAGAATTCAGAGCCCAGCTCATTCAGGACTCTCGAATAAAAAAGGATTATCTTTACAGATGGCAGGGACAAATGATGGCATGGTCAGATGAGAGCCCACTCTGTTTTACTGACCAGTCCTTTTCCTCTTTAGCTGGCCACTCTATGTGAAGTTATAAAATGCCTTTGTCATTTGAACAGTTGCACATTCGTTATGAAGCAAAGCAGTTCTGGTTTGTGACTGAATGAGAACTTGGAAATGTCTTCAATTGTGAAAGACTGAGAAAGCAAAAAACTTTCCCAACCCAGCACATTTCCCTTTTTAATATATCCTTGTCCTTTTTTAAAATTAAAGCATCATTGATACACAATCTTACTTTGGTTTCAAGTATGTAACACAGAGGTTCAACAGTTCCCCACATTATTAAACCCTCACCCCCCACTAGTGCAGTCGCTGTGTCAACATAGGAATATGTTACAGAGTCATTGGCTACATTCTCCTGCTGTACTACCGTCCCTGTGACCAACTTATATCATGACTAAGAATTTTTGTGCCCCTTTATTCCCCTCACCCTCCCTACCCACCCACTCTAGCCCTTCCCCCATGGTAACCACCAGTCACTTCTCAGGGTCTGTGAGTCTACTGTTGTTCTGTTCATTCTGTTTTGCTCTTTTATATTCCACAAATAAGTGAAATCATATGGTATTTATCTCTCCGCCTGGCTTATTTCACTGAGCATAATGCCCTTTAGGTCCATCCATGTTGTTGCAAATGACAGGATTTCTTTTTGTCCTTTTGTTTTTAAGGCATTAAAGCCGCAGATGCAAAAGAGCTCAAACAAATCGCCTCCACACCTTCGTTAAGCCATGTTTTCAATGTGGCCAACTTTGATGCAATCGTGGATATTCAGAATGAGATCATCTCTCAGGTGTGCTCAGGTGTTGATGAACAGCTTGGTGAATTGGTCAGTGGAGAAGAAGGTGAGTGAACTGTTCGGCATCCCCATGTGTCAGCCGCTTCCACTTCTTCGCAGGCACCCTTGGAGTAGACACAGTCACTCCAGCACATCCCCCAGGGACTCCCCACTTCATGTACCATTGGCGCTGTGTTTCAGTAACTCAGCTTGCTGGTATCACTTGTGTTTTTCTCCCCACCCCACCCAGGAACATGAAATAAAGTATTTATGTTATTATAAAATTCTTAAAAAATCTTTTTTGAACAAGTTGGACTTGCTGTTTTTCTCTAAGACCATTTTGAGCATGCTGGTTGTCCATAATTATGCTACTCAGGTGCTTGCTTCAATGCTCTTACACTCTGATTTAGATATTGGCAGGCTAGGGAGACATTTATTTTAGCATTCTGCTACTTAAACTAAAAACAGCCTTTTTCTATTCAATGGTGAAGTGAACGGATTTTTTCTATCATCATACTCTGCATAATGTTTTCAAAGCTTTCAAGAATATTTCAAAGATCAGTCATTTGATCCTCCCACAACTGGAAAATTTTTCCATTTTATCAGTTATTGCCTCTAAATACATGGGAGAAAGAAAAGACATTTCAGAAGACATTTCATAAGCATGCTTTTGAGCATTAAAAAGTCAAAATTTCCATGGTCGTTCTCCCAGTTGGAGAATTGACAAGTGATTAAAGATATGTTTGAAATAGCTGCATCTCCAGTCATATAAACTCTTCATGTCCAAGCCCCAAGTATTTCGGCAGTGTTCACTGGCCCTGATTCCGGTTCAGAACTGCTGCTTGTAACTTCGCGGGCTCCGAATCCTTCTTTGTCAGACTGCCTAATGTCCGACTTCTTGCTCTGCATGATCACAAGGTCCAGCCCCTGCCCCACTTTGCTCGGATTGACCTCTCTTTACTCAATCTTTTAAAACATTCAAATCGTTCTCTGTGTTTGCTGCGGCGCATGCGCAAGGCAAGCCACACTTTTGTGCTGCCGCTCCTCGAGCTCTCCCTGCGCGGGGCGTGGGGCCGCACTGCAGGCCCTCGCTGAACAAGGCCCTCACTTTCTCCGCCACTGGCCTGTGACCTCTGCTTCCTGTGCTGTCTCTGTGTCACTTCGGAGGTTCGGCTGGACTTCCTGTTGGCACTCCCGTTGCTTCTCCCCTACACTTCCATCTTCTTTAGATATCGTTTTATGTGCTACATCCGATAGCCTTTTTAGGAGGCCATGAATAAACTTGTGCCCGTTTTATCATCTCCTTCTTGAAGGCGGACTTGTAAAAAAATTAGAACTATATCTTCTGGGAAATCGATTCCATTAATGAATGTAAAAGTTTGAAGATTTGGTCTGAAATACCTTAAAATACTTTATGTTATCTGTTAAGTACATGACTATCCTCTACTTTGAATAAGGATGGAAATGTTTAGGTTATCAATATTTACTTGCCAGTATGCAAGTTGTATAGCATTGTTTCACCTCTTTGGTGACCTGATGAACATAGTTAAACCTTTTTTCTTACCTGAGTGGAAATAAAATCGCTTAAAATCAGAAGAACCTGTCATTTAAGAACTACTGAATTCTTTATCTTTCTTTGTATACTACCAAGTCTTTTAAAGTTTACATTTTTATTATTCTGGTATGATTAAAAAAGAAAAAGAATTAAGTCATTGATTTAACAAGTGTTTATCAAGTGCTTACTTTGGGACCTAGAATAAAGGCAGTGAGTGAAATACTGAAACCAGAATGGAAATCTTGGTCCCAAAGAAGAATCTGGCATCAGATGTCTTACTTGAATTTCTTCTGAGGGCTTTCCTTTCCCCCTTGCCTCTCAGCTCCCTGACTAAAAGTCGGGCGCTGAGCCCCCTTGGTGTGATGGTCCAGGAGGAAAGGGAGGGCTGGGACTGTCAGCTTTGGGGATTCATTCGTAATTAAGTCAAGTGACAGAGTTGAAGGTCCAAATCTGAAGGCTTGCACCTCACTGTTTTTAATTGCCGTTCCGCCTGTCACTCTTTAGTTATTGAACCTCCTTCAAATTTGATTGCCATGGAAGTCTCATCGAAATACATGAAGCTAAGCTGGACTCCATCTCCTAGCCCAGTGACTGGCTATAAAGTCCTCTTTACCCCCATGACCACGGGGCGCCGACAGCACGCGCTGAGCGTGGGGCCTCAGACGACCACACTCAGCGTTCGCGACCTGACAGCAGACACGGAATACCAGGTCAGCGTGGCCGCCGTGAAGGGGCTGACCGCCAGCGAGCCCGTGTCAATAATGGAGAAGACCCAGCCGATGAGAGTGCAAGTGGGTGAGTTAGCAGGTGTATCACAGGGTTTGGAATGTGAGGGTCCATTTGACCGTCTGCCTTAATGGCTCAGATTTAGTGTTAAAACACATTTACAATAGCTTTCTTTTAAAGAAGGATGCTTACTAAGAAAACCTGATATCTGTATTTTAATGATAAGTTCGAAGTTGTGGAACTTTAATGGGCTTTCTTTCTTTTTACAGAATGCTCACGTGGTGTGGATATAAAAGCCGATATTGTGTTTTTGGTTGATGGTTCCTATAGCATTGGGATTCCAAACTTCATTAAAGTTAGAGCCTTTTTGGAAGTTCTTGTAAAAAGTTTTGAGATTTCACCCAATAGGGTACAGATCAGTCTTGTCCAGTACAGCCGGGATCCTCACACTGAGTTCACTTTGAAAAAATTCACCAAAGTTGAAGACATAATTGAAGCAATAAACACCTTCCCCTACAGAGGAGGATCTACGAACACTGGGAAAGCGATGACTTATGTCAGAGAGAAAATATTTGTGCCAAGCAAGGGTTCGAGAAGCAATGTACCAAAGGTCATGATTCTGATCACTGATGGGAAATCCTCAGATGCCTTCAGAGATCCTGCCATTAAACTAAGGAACTCAGATGTTGAAATCTTTGCAGTTGGCGTAAAGGATGCGGTACGCTCAGAACTGGAAGCAATCGCCTCTCCTCCTGCTGAGACCCATGTGTTCACGGTGGAAGATTTTGATGCTTTTCAGAGGATATCTTTTGAACTCACACAATCCATCTGCCTTAGAATAGAGCAAGAATTGGCAGCTATAAAGAAAAAAGGTTAGTACGCTTTGCCACTTTGCAGAGTAAAAGTTCTCTCCAAGAACAAAGCATTTTGGTTTTAAAATTGTCAATAACATGCTTCTTTTAGTCTTTTTATATACAGAAAAAATGTAACTTTTCTATGTAATTGAAAACTACTGAGCTTAGTTTATTTAGCTCTGAGATACAACTTTCTCCTGCCTAAGGATCATGTATTTATTGGTGAAAAAGATGTTTACTATGAAGTCATGAGATGTTTCTGATCCTCGACCCTTAGGCAGGGCAGGGAGCCGGCCTCACCACACCTGTCTGTCACATACAGTTCAGCAACCACAACCTGAGTGTCCCTGGGGGCTGGATGCTGAGTTAGGTCGTTTGAATTAAAGGTGACTAGGCAGTCCCGGTGCCCCGAGTTCTCCAGAAGGACCACTTCGGGGCATCCTTCCTCACATCTGGAATTCCCTATCCTCTTTTCTTCATTTGTCCAAATTCTGTTTTTCAACTTTCAGTTACCAGTGCCGTCTTGTTTATCAAGCTTTCCGTAACTGTTCGGTGCTGTTCCGGTTACCACCCCTTCCAGTCACTTGGCATCATGTCTGCCGCTGTGTTTGTTAATGACCTCACGCTCTCTTGTCTTTCCAATGTGATTGTCCTTGAGGACAGGCAGTGTGCCTTAAACATGGTCTCTTCCTATTATTTAGTTCAATAACTATTCTGCTGGGAAGTTCCTTAATTATTACTTTGAAATATTCACCTAGCACCGGACACCAGTCTCTGATCGCCAGGGATGAATGGGAGAGCTCTGACGGATCACTCGAAGTTCCTGTTTAAATATTCCACTTGGGGCAGGATCACTCCATTACTGCTTTGTTTTTAGAAACTCAAAACTTAGATTCAATTTTAATTAGTCACTAAAACACCATTACTTAGTGTTATGAATGGTCGAGGCAAATGGTCGAGATGTCCTTGTAGGGCTTTGAGTGAGAGGCCTTCCCTCGTGCCTGCGGGCAGACCGTTTGCTGAGTACAGTGGCCCCCACGGCCACCCTCCCAGATGGACAGAGGCCATTTCAGAGATGTGTAGTCATTAGGCCCATTTTTTGCTTTATAGATTTAACATTTTAAAACTGCATCCTTCTTTTCTTTTTTTTTAAATAGCTTATGTGCCTCCAAAGGATATTAGGTTTTCTGAGGTGACCTCTTACAGTTTCAAAACCAACTGGTCTCCTGCTGGGGACAATGTGTTTTCCTACCACGTCACCTACAAGGAAGACGCCGGGCACGGGGAGGAGGTCACGGTGGTGGAGCCTGCGTCCAGCACCAGCGTCCTTCTCAGCAACCTGAAGCCAGAGACCCTGTACCTGGTCAACGTGACTGCGGAGTATGAGGATGGCTTCAGCGTTCCCTTGGCCGGGCAGCAGACCACCGAGGAAGGCGAGTTTCTGCCACCCCCTTCCCAGCACCAGCAGTTTACTGTAGAACAGTTACCTGCTTTATTGCACAGATGTTCTTATAGGTCAGCCTTTGTAAGATTGGACATCTTTGAAGTATAACTATTCACACGTATTTTTAAAAAGAGAAAAAATTTCTCTGGGAAAAAACCCTAGATTTATTTTGATGAATTTGAGGTTAAGAGACATAGAAAACTATTAAGAATTATGGAATTTACTCTCAAAATACTCTCTATCCAGTTTTTTTCTGCCCTCTGTTTCAGCAGTGCTATGTCCAAATGCTTCTAAAATCACCTGCCTTTATGGAGCTGATGGCAGATATGTATTACAACATTTTTATCTTTTTAAAAATCATGGTGAAATACACATGACATAAAATTTACCATTTAGGTCTACATTTCAGTGGATTTCGTACATTCACTGTTTTGCTACCATCACCACCATCATCTTCAGAACTTTTTTCATCTTGCAGAACCGAAGCTCTGTACTCATTAAAGAGCAACTCTCGTCTCTGCCTCCTCCCCTGCCCCTGCCCCAGGTGGCCACCATCCTGCGCCCCGTTTCTGTGAGTCTGCGCACTCTCGGTACCTCATACAGGGGGGACCATACAGTGTGTGGTCTGTCCTTTTGTGACTGGCGTATCCCTTATGATGTCCTCGGCACTCACCATGCGGCTACCCGTGTCAGGGTGCCTTTCCCTAGGGCTGGGTGATATTCCATTGTGTGCATACGTCACGTCTTGTTTATCCGTTCACCCATAGGTAGGTGCTCGGGTTGCTGTATCTGTACCTAATTCTGCTAAGAACATGGGTATAAAACATCATCAAATGTCTTAAGTGCCATTTGTTTAGATGTGTGCTTTTTACTGGATAGAATGGAATACTTTCTGATCCACATCACTACATTTTCCATTTAAAGGCATGATGAGGGTAGGAGAAGACTGAGACCAGGAAATTACTCCTCAGGGTATATATATGAATATTATAGGAGATATGTACTATGTGAATATTACAGTTGTTCTCTGTTACTGGGGATAGAAGAGGTTGAAACAGCAGGAAGAGAAATTCAAGATAGTTACAAAGAAGGATTTGCTGACAGGGGAGGCACGTGGTGGCGAACCTTGCTGAGAAAAGCTGGAGAATCTTTTTTCTCTGAAAGCCTTTTCAAGTAAGAGTAATTTTTTTTTCCTTTTGTGCATGGCTTAGGTATATTTCTACCTGAAAACTGGCAAATAAACAGGACACCTTCAAGGTGACTTCTTACCTCATGATTTTTTCTATTGTATGACCTAGAAATCCATATTTAGATATTTATGATTTTCTGATCATTTCTCTGCAAGGCCCACATTGCCGCTTGCTGAACTGGCCCTTTTTCTTCAATGCTTTGGGATGGGAATGAGAATATATCTCAAGAAGAAGTTTCAGTCTAAAGGGCTTTTGGGTACAGCCGACTACATTCATAGACACTCCAGTTCTCCATCATTGGGCTACCACAGGAGAATTTGGTGATGCCTTCCCAACTCTATTGTCTGTAGTGAAATCTGAGATTCAAACTTTTTTAGTCTATCAGGAGGCGTCTGATTCGGGACATTCACTTAGCATTCCTGAGCTCCTGCTGTGTACCAGGTACTATGATAAATGCTTTCGTGGGCTCTCTTATCTAACCACGTCAATAATCCTATGAGTAGTCAGGTTTTTACTGTTGGGGAATCTGATGCTCAAAATCACACGCCTGTTAAGCTTCAGATGGTCCCAGTACAGTCTCCCTTATCCACATCTAGGGGCCATTTCCCGCAGTCAGCTGAGCTGGGCAGCAGAAGGCCCTCCTTCCGCAGGTGGTCAGAGGATGGCAGTAGCCGAAGGCTGCATCACCCTGCCTGCAACATTCACCTCACTTCCCCTCATCACATAGCATTTAACCAGCTCCATTGTCAAAAGAACAGAGAGAACAGTACAGTATGATATTTTGAGAGAGAGTCCACATTCACACAACTTTGATTACAGTTACTGTTTTATTCTAGTTATTATTAGTGATTGTTGTTAATCTCTTACTGTGACTAATTTATAAATTAAACTGTATCATAAGTATGTGTGTATGTATTGGGAAAAACATAATGTATATGGGGTTCAGTGCAACCCTCAGTTTCAGGCATTCACTAGGGGTCTTGGAATATATCCCCCATGTTTTAGGGGGGCCACTGTGTTTGAACTCATCAGTTTATCTGCCTCTCTGTTCTCATCTATCTTCCTTGCAAATGAACCTCGGGTGTAAGTCTGCCAGGTGTCATTTGTTTCTTTTCTTGAGAGACATACTTTCTTCTACCCAGGAGTGACCTATTGCTGGGTTGGATGTTTAGGCAAACTTCTCATTGTATGTAAGGTGTGTGCAGGCACCTTTAGATCTTTCCTGACTGTGTTGTCCATATGGACAATTTGCCCCTTAAATAAATTGGTCCTTTAAGCATGTTTACTAACCAGAAAGTCAAACAAGGCTCTTACTTGGGTTTCATGAAAATTTCATTTAAGACTATGAGTCTTTGACTGTTACCCACACTGCAGTTTAACCTCAACATTTAGATCCAGTTAGCATTTGTTAAGTGCCGATAATGTGTTAGGTCTCAACATGTATGGTCTAATTATTCTCCAAGTCAGGTGACTGTATAGATAAAAAAGTTGTGAGACTGACTGGAGAAGACAGTGTATTCAGGTGGGGAGATAGGGCAGGAATGGTTGTTTTTATCATTTTTCTACCTGTCTGAGAAAAATCTAGGAAGTGTGGAAGCTTTGGTTACTTACATTTGAAGAAACCAGTTGTTTTTATTCTTAAGTTTTATGTCAATACAATTTTTCCATTTAATGGACTACTAATGATTTTAAAAGTTTACTATTATATCACTCTTTATTTGATTAAAAAGTTAACTGTACATAGCCTCTTTCTGGTATTTGTTTCTCTTTCAGAATCTAGTTAGTATCTGGCTAAATAAATGCAGTAACCAGGATGTTCGTCAGAAAACTGCTTGTGGATTTGTTTAGAGAAATGCTATCATTTAGCGATCAAAAGCTAGTTTTGTGTTTTTCAGATAAAATCAAAAATTTTTTTTAAATTTCAGTAAAAGGAGCACCTCGAAACCTAAAGGTGACAGACGAGACAACAGACAGCTTTAAAATTACCTGGACTCAAGCTCCAGGGCGAGTGTTAAGGTACCGAGTTACCTACAGACCAGCTGCTGGTGGAGAAAGCAAAGACGTCACCACCCCAGCCAATCAGAGGAGGCGGACGCTGGAGAACCTGACACCAGACACCAAATACGAGGTCTCGGTGATCCCTGAATACCTCTCAGGACCTGGCTCTCCGCTGACTGGCACCGCAGCCACTGAAGAAGGTAGAGGAAATATGCTGGCCATTTGGTAACAACCAAAATCTTAGGCCGCAGGGGA